CATTTTTCTTGAGTTCATTTAAAGTTCTTCCCAAGTTTCAAAATCAATTGCTATCGTTGATGGATTACGTGATAAAACAACAACAAAAAACCTTAAAACTAGCCCTTCAATGGTCAAAATCTTGGAAACAAGGAGCCGGTTGAAAGACTCCGATAGCTGCACCATAAGCATTAATGCAACTTGAACTAACATTCGTCCCGGTTAGTGCAGACTTAAGCAACACAGATTGCAGTAGCAGTCCGGTGCACGAAACAGACCGGCTGCAGTTCAGTGTAATGGCCACTTCAGTACTCGATGTTCCCCGTAGATTCTTGTAAACCATGTCCCTTATCTTAACACCAGTTTCCTAACATATAATCGGTTCTGCTTTGGTTAGTTTTCAGCTCTGAATTTGTTCAAAAACGACCCAACTGCTCGTTTGAATTACCAGTTCCCCACAAGCACCCCTAACATTGCAGTAGTTTTGGTCTATGATTATCAGGTTTTTCTCCTTCTCGAAGGATAGATTCTCGAACGTAACTCCTCAAACATAACCTTTCCCAACCTTACAAGAACTTGCAGTCAATATTACAAGATAGCAATACAGACATACCTAAGAGTTGTATTTATTTACCTGCCATGTCTTGATTCGAGCTCCATTCGTAGTTCCTTTGGAGGATACCGTGTTTACGCGAATGCTCCGCACTTGTACGAAGTTTCTTGCCCTTCCTAAGCTTCCAATGCTGTTTTTTTAACAAAGAAAAAATAGAGACAAAAGCATATCAGGAGAGTCACAAGTGCTTTGAAAACTACGTTGCTCGGCGGTAGATGTGCTGGCACGTGAGTTGAAAAATCCTAGGACAATCACTATGTTCCAAGGGATTAAATGCTCAAATCTCATCATATAAAAGCTTTCACCTTATTCCATGGCCAGGTCCACACTTTACATGAGAAATATGAACTTTGTAAGAACTGTGTAAAACAATTCATGTAATGGCATGAAAAGATTGTTATACCAGTTCCAATTATACTGTTTCTGATGAATATATTGCTAGCTGAACTGATATGAATTCCATCGGTGTTAGGACTTGTTTCCGGAGTTGTTATCACCTCGTCGTCGACGATAAAATCATTGGTTCCTCTTATCAGGACATGCGTTTGAGAACTATACACTAGTCGAACCTGGCTGAGACTGCTGGTTTTGCAGGACTAGAAAATCACGGCCTGCGAATGCATCAAACACAGGATCTGAACTTCAGGAATTATCTTATTGCTTCACCGGTGTCGAGAAGCGTAATCGAAATCGAGAAATCTACTTACTGTTGGTGCCAAAGAAGTGCACGGTGCACCCTTCGTGGAGAAGTTGGCACATGTATGAAAAAATCGAATCAGAAAACAAGCTTTCCTTGAGGAGATGACACAACTGAGAGTAGTACCAGGTGTGGATGATATCTGCATGATTGGTTCCACCAACCCCAGCCTCGTCCGTCGATCTCGCCTCGACCTTTGATTTCGAGCCCTGAAACTCGGTTAAACGTTAGCCATCGTCCTTGATCGAATCCCTCCCATGTCTCGGGTGAAATCGGTGATATTATCCTCCCCATTATCTGATAAGATAGTAAGAATCACATTGTCTTTTACAGGAAAAAAACTGGGAAAATATTCATTTTGGCCATACCAGAAACTTGATCTCTTTAGCTTTGCATGGACCATTAAAAGTGAGTGGACGCAACAAAAACGTCTGGTTTCCTGGAACTAATATAATCCAAACACCATCTTCAACCTCCCTGCTGCACACGAAATTCCATGCTTTCAAAAGTGCCTGAAACAAATGATTCAATGAACATGTTGAACTCTCATTTGAAGCAGAACCATGGGGTGAAAATTGAACTAAAACGAAGTGAATTTACCTCAGAATTATCAGCAGTTCCATCTACGACAGCACCAATCCAATACATCAACCACCTCTGATTTCATGGCGGCGACGCCAGGAACAGTATCGGAGCAAAGCAAGTGTAAGATCAGAAGATTCAGAACAATGAAGGCAAAACAAGTTGCCTGCAAATGGAAAGAAAGAACAACATCAGGGCGTTCAGTCTCGAACATTTAAAGATGTTATTAAAACTCACCGTTTGCATTAAATGGTCCCTTGTAATGAACTAAAACTACACTTTAAAGTTGAGTTAATTGGCCATTACAAGGGAGAGAAGCAGAATTTAAAGAGCTTAGTTGATGATTTCTGGGAACCTTCAAAGATAAACAAAACAGGAGAGCCGCCCACACCTTCATTTGGTGCTAAGCACAATCAAAGATTTTACATTTATTTGCTCCTAAATTTGTGTGATAAATCATGAAAGAAATGGAAATCAAGTAACGTTTCCAAATTATCTGTTCTTTTTCCAATTTCCATGGATAATTTTTCTTTCTATGCTACTACTGCAATAATTAATTAATGTCATAGTTTTCGTGTTTAAGAACAGAGAAATCTGCCACGTGGCAACTTGTAATTGGTATAATAATCACAGTCACTCCCAAAAGCAACTCCTATACTCAAAAGCTCACAAGCTCAGGCTAGATTTTTCCTAGTCCCAGAGATCTGATCTATAGAACTCCGCAATTTTCCGGGAAAATCTATTGAAGTGAAAATTACTGAATTCCCATGGCAAATGCATGGAAAAGAGAAAGCAGCAAAGCTCAGAAGTTCCTCTCACCCAAAACCCTCCTTCCTCTCCTCCTCCTCACCCTCTTCGTCTACCTCTATTTCTCTCTGCTTTCCCCTAAAACCCCCACCTTTATCCCCACAACTCCCTCTTATAGCGCCCAAAAATATGCCCAGAATTTCCCAATCCCTCCTTTTAGCTGCCGCAACTCACCGCAAGCCCATCCCATCGTTGCAAACAAAGTAGAAAATCTCAAACACCCTTTCATTTACTCCCTAGCTGATTTAGGTTCCCTCCCTGACAAGCCTCACAAGAACATCGTGAGACTTCTTAAAGGCAAGCCCTTTCGTAAGCCTGACATCTCGGCCACCGTTCAGGATTTTCTGCAAGGGAAAAACAAAGATTGGTTTTTCGTCGATGTCGGGGCCAATGTCGGAATGGCGAGTTTCGCGGCAGCTGTTATGGGGTTCAGGGTGTTGGCTTTTGAGCCGGTTCTGGAGAATTTGCAGAGGATTTGTGATGGGATTTGGTTTAATAGGATTGAGGATTTGATTACCGTTTTTGAAGCAGCCGCATCTGATCGTAATGGAAATATTACTTTCCATAAGGTACGAGTCTTCTCATTCATGGTTTTCTTTTGGCCGATTAGCGAGCTTATAATTTAGTGTCAATTTATGCTAAGCAAAATAACTTAAATTTATTGACGTGGCTTATAATGTGTTAAAAATGGGAATTTGGTGGAACTGTTGAACTCGTTTGCAAGTTTGATACTTTGGGATCAATTTTCATTTGCTGCATTTTTTTGAGTTCTTAAGGCTCTATGAAAATGTGGCACCTCTTTGTTCCTTATGCAGTTATCAAAATCCTTTATCCAACTGTCCTTTCCTCTGTAGGTTAGATGCTTCAGTTGCTCTCTCAATGAATCCAGTTCCAGTCTTTACCTATGGAACTTGCCTTATTTTTTCCCTTATGTTTCAAGTCAATGGTTAACTTACTATCAATTATATCCAATAGCTGGTGAGGACCAGAGAAACTCTCTTGGGTTGATCATCAATGACAATTGTTCATGGATTCAATTTAGAATGGAATTCTGGGATACTAAAACTTGGATTATTCTCATTTGGTACAAAGAGGGCCATAGTTTGGGGGATAGAAGATCGAACGAGGATTTTCCTAGGTACAGATAGAGCCTCACTTTCGGTCATGCAGACATTGTACTGAGGGAACCTCACTTTCAGTCAACTAGATCCAGTAGGTGCCCTAGTAACTTTTTCGTTGATCTGAAAGCTGGTGGGTTGATCATCAATGATAATTGATCATGAATTTAATTTAGAATGGAATTTTGGGATTCTAAAACTTGAATTTTTCTCTCTTGGTACAAAGAGGGCCATAGTCTCACGATAGAAGAAGATCAGACTTGGATGTTCCTAGGTACTGAGAGAGCCTCACTTTCGATTATGCAGACGCTGTGCTCATTGCTTGAAGATAAACCGGTGTGATAATTTGATTATGATTTCACGATTGCTAGTCACTTCTTTACGAATCTCAGTAAATTTTGATGGGAAGAATGAGAGAGCAGGTTACATGGTAAGCTTTGGGGGTTTGGGTTGAGAGAAAAAAGATAACTGGTATGGTTTTGCCTTATAGATTATCTGTTGTCTTGTCATTTTGTCGTTTGGATTTAGTGTTTATCCATTCTCATATACTGCTTACTTCTTTTACTGTATTATTATTCCTTTTTCTGCTTCTCATGTGAAAACCTTTGTATTTTCTCCAGTTGGTCGGCCGGCTTGACAACAGTGCTGTTTCTGCGGTCGGTGCAAAGCTGGCATTCAAGTCCAATGAAGAGATAGCAGTGCAAGTGAGGTCCATCCTTCTGGATGAAGTAATCCTGGAATCAGAGCCGGTGCTTCTACTTAAAATCGATGTTCAGGGATGGGAGTATCATGTATTGAAGGGAGCCAAAAAGTTATTGTCCCGGAAAAAAGGCGAAGCCCCGTATCTAATCTACGAGGAAGACGAACGGCTGTTGCAAGCAAGTAACACTACGGCGAAAGAGATAAGGGACTTCCTAAGTAGTCTGGGTTATACTCTCTGCACCCAGCATGGTACAGATGCTCACTGCACCAAGAATTGATGCAAGTACCACGAAATTTTCCATCGATGACAACTTACTGCAAATCGAATGTCATTTCTCTCGGCCCGCGGTGAAATGTAGTTCTTTCGAATACGCATTTCTTCATGTTTATGATAGAGTTGTACCGAAGCTGATAAAAGGTTCTACTGTTGGCGCTCTTTTCTCTTGGTGATTGGTTGGCTGATGGCAGCTTCTCAATTCTTTTGTAATTTTTGTTCTACTTCTCAAACTTCCCATAAAGCCTGGTTCATATTAATGAGAATAATCTATTACAATTGGCCAAATATTTGACCCCTACAAAACCCTGAAATTATAATCAAAACCCTCAAGTATTACATCGTTTATAGCTGAATACAGTACAAATTGTGGATCAATACATGATTGATCTGATAATGAATACCAGGTGCAGTCTAGAGATGCAATATGCACTTATGATGCTTCAAATAAATGACGGGCATGGAAAGCCTGCAGTAGCAAGGTTTAAGACATTTGCGTGAAAAACATTACAAGATATGCCTGTGGGAGCTGGGACTAACTCAAACCTTATGCTTTTGAAGTTTGATCTCGGAATCTCTCATCATATAAATCCAAATCTTCTCGATTATTTTGGACCGCTTGTTTTTGAAAGACCCGCTCTTTCTAACATTACGTCGTAGAGTTGTTTTCCGTTCTAGTTGTAACAATTTTTTCAAAGAAAAAATAATCACAGATCAAGGATTGTATTAAAATGTATTTACAGCTATAATATTCGAGTAACTGAACGGTTTTCTTTCGTCTCTCGAGTTTTTTCAAAACCAAATACGCGGATATGAGAGATGAGTAAGATACACTTACAAAAATGACCGGGAAAAAGTGAACTTGTCCTTCAGGCTTTGTCTGAGTCTCCTTAAAATACACCAGAATGGGGAAAATTGGCCACCAAAGTTCCCAATTCACAAATGTTGAGTACCTTTGGTAAAATTGATAGGTAAGTGGTTTACCCTTTTGGAACATGGATAGAAATCGGAAAGGTGACTTACTTCCATCGGTTTTTGCCACCAACAAAGACATTTTCACCTGAATCCTGAAGCTTGTCCCCAGCTTTCACCTCCTAAAACCACAAACATCACCGTTCACATATGCGTAAGTGGAGAATTCTAGCTCCAAATCCGCAACAATGAAGGAAGTATACAAGAATGGACTAACCAGTGCCTCGTCATCGAAGACAAATCTAACTCGAGTAGTCTACAAGAACAAACTGTCAGCTAGTTTCTGCTAAAATATCGAAATGGAAACTAAAATGATGTAGATCCAGAAATGAGAGATTTGTGGATCTCATCAGAACTGCATCTTGTAAACTGCTTTGTGTTTCATCAAAGGATTAAATCTCTTCTGATGGTTGCAATTTGGAGTCTTCTCAATGACATAAACTATTTCTAGTTATTGATACCTGGAACAACAGAAGCAACCCAAGTAGACCAACAGGTGCAGCTGGTAATAGGTTATCAGTATAAGCTAATCCACCAGCTAGACCTGTTTCAATAAATAATTTTTCGGAATATAACTTAGAACAAAGGGAGGACAATAGCATATTAACAGCATTTATAAAGAACAAGATCAATCAAGAGAGAGTTATTTTGATAGTAAAGAAGCAAACACCGAACAGAGGAGACGTTAAAAGATTGCTTGCAAACCGGTGCAACTATAAATGCAGCCTTGTTCGCAGACCAAAGTGCAGGTTGGATCATATATAGTTAGAAAGGTCCTGATCGCCAGACAATCAACAGCATCGAAATAAACAAACTAATTGTCGAAGAACTATTATAATCCTAGTTTTGATAGTTTATTCATCTAGACAAAATAGGCAAACTTACAAAGTTTGTATGACACCATTCAAGACCAACCAAGATACCCAAAAAAAGGATGCATCCGAGTATGGAAAAATTCAGAGAGCTTACCGAGTAGGACAACCGGTATGCGATAATCTGGATCAGGAACCACAGTTTCTTTCTTTTGGACCTTCCTTCCAAGCTGCCAAGTATCAAAACAGCTATCTCAAATCATGAATTACGACTACATAAAGCCCGGAACGATAATCAGAAATCAGTTCAATCACAATTACTACTTCCTGCCACCAATCTGGATATAAACTAAAGCTTTTTATCTGCATCTACCACTTATAATATAAGAATTCAAAGATTCTATGAGGAAATAAATGCTTAAAAAGCAAAAAAAATGTCAAAGTTCATGAATTCATTCAACAATACAAACCACTGATGCAACAACAGGTCTGCCTCCACGAGGACTATTGGACGCTCTTCTTAAAAAACATTGCTTATATCCTACTTTGCCTCGGAATGAGCTCTTCATTTGTCCCAGAAGACCACCCACTTCATTTCCTGTTGGAAATAAGTACGTGATTAATTCTTTTCAATATTATTTCTTCTCAATGAAAACTTAAAAATATGCTCCATATTTCACTACCCTCCCCCTCAAGTTTCTTTTATGTATAAATAATAAAGTACTGAACTTTATACTAAGAATCAGAAAGGGCTTACTTTGGGAAGGTAGAAATGGAGCAGCAGTCAACAGGAAGCCACTAGCCATTCGCTGCTCGCTGTATTTGCCACAAAGCAATGTTTCTTTTGGGTTTTTGACAAGAAAAAAAGAACAAATAAGCTGTTGGTTCCTGGTTTGTTTGTGGGAGAATTTGACCTTATTGCCCCCTAGTTCCTGTTAGCAATTGACATCTTGTGATGATGTAAACTGATGTTCCAAGGGTGTTTGGGTAATTCACTTAAGCTGAATGCCTCTGCTTCCATTTAGCCTTATCTACTGGAACTATTGACGAACCCACTTTTTCTTTTCCTCTGTTCTCTGAAGTTCAAAGCTTTGTAGAACCAAAAGTCAACAAATTTTTATTTTTTTAATAAATTTGCAAGATTCTGGGAATGGGTTCAATCCATTTGTAAAGTTGCAAGCTTTGAACTGTGAAGGGATAATTCAGATTGTAATGTCATCTAGGATAGAATGGTTTCTGGAAATGGCTAGGGAAATTTCTTATTATAGAGAAGAATGATGAAATACAAAACTGGATAAAACAACATTCATGGTTCGAAAGAAAAGGGTCCTAGCCATGCATGAGCTCATTTTGTTCCACTCAAGAACCCCGAGTTTGATGAATTAGGAAGACTAGCTTCAAGGAAATCTTTACTGGTCATGCACTCGAGATCTAGTGTTCTTCAACCATGATTTTACTCACATCAGCATCACGTTTACCCCGAATCTCATAACGATTTCTTCTGGTTTAAGTCACTGAATCATTGAGCAAAAGAATTCAAACTCCAGTAAGGTTGTTGGTTCATGCAATCACATTTGTTAATTGTTTAATAGGTATGAGATTCGAATAAAGTCTGTAACTTGTAAGACACAAATTTGGAACTTGGATGGTTGATGTATGATTGTGCAGTGGGGCAAGTGTCATGGTGGTTCGGTCCACAGGTGTAAATTGTGTGATTTGTGAGGCCTAAAACTCGTAGAAATAGAAGCTGGGGACCAAGTTTTTGTCCCACAATAAGATTCATATTTTTAATATTGTAATAATGTCATATATGCCCATTCTAAATCAATTCCTGAACTTTTTAATGTTCCAATTTCATCTTCAAATTATAACTCACGTTGTAAACTGGTCCTTAATCTTTTGAACATTTCAATTTCATTCCAAACTATTAATATACACTAATCATATACCCTATTAATGTTATAAGCCAAGATATACTAGTATATGTTTGAAAAAAATTAAGTAAAACTATGGCTAAAACTAATTATATATTTGAAAAAAATTTAGAAATGGTATTGGAAGATTCAAAAAGCTTGAAGACTGAATTAGAATGGAAGTCATAATTTAAGGATGAAATGAAAATGTTCAAGGGTTTATAGACAAATATAGAATGAGGATCATAATTTGAGGACATGTGACACGATTAACTCAATTGAAAAATAATAACAAAATTTATAATTTATGGATAGTACAATGACTAATGACAAAATTTCACCTCATAATACCTAAACCGACATTCATCCATATAAATTATTGGACCTAAACCAGTATTCATCAATATAATATAATATAAAAGAAACTTTACAAGTAACTGAACAGTATTAGAAGAGAGAAAAAATCAAGGAATACGAATAAAAGTTGATAAATGTGTTAACAAGTTCAGTCCACAGTGTTGAGTATTTGACTTGAAATCCCATAACAATTCCAGATTTGATAGCACAGAGTCCAGAACATACTATGCCAGTTATGCTTGGCATACCTATGACAGTATCAATCTAAGAATCTCCCCTGAATAATTGAACGATTTCTCGGTTTCTTCCAAGCAATGATTCTTCTCCTCTCGAGTCCAGCTCTTCAGTAGTGACGATGAAGAACATGAAATCGGTGTTAGTCGTAAAGCAACAGAATGGAGATGGTTTTTTCAAGAGTTCTGCAATCATAAAGTGAATATTACCTCAGCTACTTTGTTCAGCTTGTCCCTCACGTTTTGTAACAATTGGGAAAGGTCACCATCCCATTTGTAAAATTCTAACTCCTTGTTGTCAAGTATCTTCTCAGCTACCTGATAGAAAGAGTGGAGTTGAATGAGATCGAGTGGTCGATCTCGTAAATCGAGTTATAACTATCTAAGTGAGGACATTTTAAGGACCAGAGATATCGAGGGAAGTGTATGCATTCAACATGTTACAAGTATGGCTATGGCTATGGGATATCCACTAGATAGAAGCTGGTGAAATGCATGAACTGACTCAAATGGGGAACTGAAAGGGATAGATCGGAGCAAAACGACACGATTTTAATTCTAGAAAGTGTGGATAAGGATAAATAAATTTAGTTTTCGATACACATTTGAAGCTGATATTGTGTTTAACTAGTTACAAATATGGTTATGGCTAAGGGATATCCACTAGATAGAAGCCGGTGAAATGCATGAACTGACCTAAATGGGGAACTGAAAGGGATAGATCGAAGCAAAACAACATGTGCTTAATTCTAGACAGTGTAGATAGGATCAAGAAATTTACTTTTGGATACACATTTGAAGCTAATATTGTGTTTACCTTCTTCCCAATCATCCGGCCACCTGCCGAGTGTGCAAAATAAATGTTGTAGAAATGACATATGAATGCTTGTGGATCCTTATCGGATAATTCTTTAAGATACTCGGAATACGTAACACCGGGAGAAGATGGTTCGGGAATGGCATAGCCTTGCTCTTTGAACCACTGTAAATCCATCGCCAACTTCTCTGACCTTTCCAATCCAGTGTTCCTGAATTCAGCATCTGAACCAGACCAGACCAGGCTCATCACTTTACTTTTTCTAGCAGTATCGTAAAACCACTAAACACCACACTCAAGAAGCACATAAAAGCATATACATATGATATGAGCAAAGCTAAGAACTAGCTGGTGCAATACAATTTACAAAGCATATGAAACTCCAAGTTTAACACAAAATAAAACCACTTATACTTTTAAAGGCATCCATTTCAAGGATTAAACAGCTACAATTCAATCAATTGTGCTAATGGTAAGATTCTTCGGTTTTCAAGTGAAGGGCTATTCGAATCCTTCATCGAACCATTAGACCAAACAACAGAAGCCCGAAAACGAAAAAAGAACGAATTCTTGGCATAACAATGGCATGCAATCTGCATTCTAATTTGTCATTCCATGTAGAATTTCACGGGGAAAAAAACATTCAATCTGCGTTCTTATGGACTTTTATCGTCAGATTGAGAGCAATTACTCCCTAGCTCACCCCATTATATCTATCAATACAGCGGTTGAGAATAACAGTGGCCTGCATATTAGTCAGACTGATCGTATGCACCATAATAAGTCCGGTGGGATGCAAAATAAGATGGATCATAAACGTTTTGTTGTTCTTGGTCAGGGAGATTAGACGGGTTGTGATGATTTCGAGAAGAAGAAGGTATATTGGCTTGATCGTTTTGTTTTGTTTTTTATTAAACTGGGATAAGTACAAGACAGCTCATGTTCAAAGAGAACTTTTAACCATTTGATATTGAACGCTAACACCCTTACATTCCTGGTCGCTCGGTTTGTGCGATCGTTTTGATTTTAGGTCCATTCTAGACTGATTTCTTTTAGGTCGGAAGTTGTCTAAGCTCAACTTGATGGGAACAATTTGGTCTCGTCCCTTATGCTTTTATCTTTCTAAAAACACCGATCAACGATTATTATCTTATCTACTATAGATATTCCTTTAATCCAGAATCCAAAAGTATGAACCGACAATGATCGACGAGACAACAAAATTCCAATCAACTAGAAGGGTGAACCACCAAGTACGGACGACAGAAAAAATTGTTCCCGTCAACCGTATCCTATAACATCTAAATGTCATCACATAAAAAACTTCAACCTTCAGCCTAGTCTTATTTTCCCTTACTAAACCCATCTTCTCAAAGATGATTTGATTCTAAAATCAATCACAAAATTCCAAAACTATAACTGAAAACAAATATATATAGGAATTAGAATTCAAAGAAAAGAAGAAGAAGCTTACAGCTAGGGAAAGCAGCCTTATCAATAATCCCTTCAAGCGTATCGTAAACCAACTTGCTGTCAACAAGGAACTTCAAGTAGCCATCAACGGTGGGCTCCCATACCTTAACGGTCCGTTCTTCAGGCTGTTTCACCTCCTTCTCTCCTTCCTTTGCTTGGTCTCTAGTATGCAATTTCATAGCCACTAACCTCATCTCCTCCACGAAACCTTTAGCCTCGCCGGGGTACCTCTTCCTGGGCTTCTCCGCCGTCGTGGACGACACGACGACGTTCCTAGTAACCCTCCTGGGAAGTTTAAGAGAAGCCTTGGAATATGGGAAATCCTTGATGATAAAACTGGAAGAGAAATTGGGAGGTGGAGGGGTTTTAAGGTTGGGTCTTTTAAGAAAGGAGTGGGACTGGGAAATTGGGGTCAGAGACGCCATTGAAACACGGATTTTTCTTCTTTTTTGCCAAGTTTTAAATGGGATTGTTTTGGTTGAAGCTGTGAAGAAGAAGAAGAAGAAGAAGATGGAATCTCCAATATTTTCGATTCAAATAGTCTTGGCTTAAAGCCCAAGTGCTAAAGATCAAATAATTTTCAGAGTGAAAAATAAAGCTTGGGTTGCTTAAATTAGTGGCGACTGCAATGGGCAAAAGGGTAGATATCATTGGTTGCTTCTCGAAATTGTTGACCTATAATGGAATATCCTGTTAGATCCAACCTTGGTAAATAAAACTATTTATAATAATATAATAAATTTGTATATTTTATTATTTTTTAAGGATATATAAAATTTCTAAAGTGCTTAAATATAATTTCTACATATTTATTTATTAAATAATTAAATAATAAACTTCACTTCAAACTCTATAAATTATATCATAATCTCCAATCCCTTTCAATTTTTTTCACCATCTTTTTCAATGGATTCAGTTTTGTCCATTTTTATATTAATTTCAACTTAACATTCTATAATTATTTCAATTTGATCCCTCATCCTTGTGTGTTGTTTAATTTAATTTAATTATTGTTTTTAATTTCATGTTTATTCAATTTAGTCTTTAAAATTATATTTTTATTAAAATTAACCCATAATTATTATTTTTTGTAATTTACTATAAATCATATACAATTATAAATTATAATTTGTCGTTCGTGAAAGATAAAAAATAATTATCCCAAAAATTACTCGGCCTGAACTCAATCGGTACCGGGTAATATCCGGCCTGAATTTTGTATAATTTCCTTTTAATCAGGGTTCTCCGAGTTTGCAACTTCATTTATGAGTAAGTTCTATTTTTATCCTTGCTTATTACCCCTCTTTTTTCTTATCTCAGGAAAGGCATTATTTATCAAATTTTTATAATCTCGATTTTCACATCGGTTCTGCTTTTTGGATTACCATGGGTTGCATCATGCCAACCATGCCCCTTGGACGCAGCTGAAGCCTGTCCCACGATAGGTTAATCCGGTAACTATAAGAGATTTCAATGCCCTCATGGTCACTACAATGATCTTGCAAGTCTCATTTTCAACTCAAATGATGATGCTATCAGAAAACTTTTTAGCAAGGATACTGACTCTGAGTTTCAGCTCTCATCAATGCTCATATTTTTCGTCACCTGCTTCATTCATAGTATTTTAAGCTACGGGATTGTTGCTCCGGCTGGTCTATTTGTACCTGTGATAGTAACTGGTTCATCTTACGGCCGCTTCATTGGAATGTTGCTTGGTTCTCATACAAATCTTAGTCACAGTCTCTATGCAGTGCTTGGCGCGGCTTCATTTCTTGGTGGATCTATGAGGATGACAGTCTCCTTGTGTGTTATAATTCTGGAATTGACCAATAACCTATTATTGTTGCCACTGATAATGATTGTTCTCCTTATTTCCAAGACTGTAGCTGATGCTTTTAACTGCAGCATTTACGACCTTATTATGAAAGTAAAAGGTTTTCCTTACCTGGAAACTCATGCTGAACCTTATATGAGGCAGCTGACTGTTGCCGATGTTGTCTCTGGCCCACTTCAGCTGTTTCATGGGATCGAGAAGGTCGGAAATATAGTACACATCCTTAAAACCACGAAGGCATCATGGGTTTCCTGTTATAGATACATCTCCAGATTCTGAATCCTCGGTTTTATATGGTTCGATACTCTGTGCTCATCTTATTGCATTGCTAAAGAAGAAAGCATTCTTGCCCACCCCTATGCGGTTAGGTGTCAGCGATCCCTTTAGGCATTTTTCGGCAGATGATTTTGCAAAGAGGGGATTAGGTAACGTCGACAAGATAGAAGACATAGAATTAACTGACGAGGAGATGGAGAAGTTCCTGGATCTACACCCTTTTACCAACGCTTCATCATATACAGTTGTGGAGATGAGACAATGTCATTAGTTAAGGCTCTCGTACTTTTCCGTGAAGTTGGTCTGCTGCACCTACTATTCATACCCAAGATCTCCAACGTAAGAAACATTGTCAATCATATTCATTTGCCTTTTGTTTTCTCATTCTTTGTCTGATTCTTCATGTTTCTGCATTCTAATTTCAAAGTTTCGTGCACTTCTTTAGCCGTGCTAGTTAATCCAACCATAGCTTTCAATCCTTCTTTTCCCCATCAGTTTCTTTCCTTTCAGTATGTCGTCTGTTTTCATTTTAGATATCACTTTAACCCTTGTTACTAATTGCATTATTCATATGGCTCATGTGACTGCAGAGAGCACCTGTGGTGGGCATATTAACAAGGCACGATTTCATGCCGGAACACATATTCAGTTTGCATCCATTGTTGGTAAGGAGTAGGTGGAAAAGGTTGAGGATTCAATTGCCCCGTTTATTGAAAATATTCTAGGCGGCGACGGCGATCTCGTTCAGTCGTTGCGTAAGGGGCTTACCCTTGGAACTAAAACTGTAAATGGTCTGTACTCTTGTAATCAAACTGCAGTAAGCTGTGGGAATCATTGTGATTGGCGAATACTCAGATCCGGCGGGGAGTCACGTCGAACGAACTACTGCAATCTGTATTTTGCCCTTACTGTAGAATTTGAGGTATGCCAAAATTTTATCGACTCTTTGATTTAGTCTCTTGCATGAAAGCATTAATAATGTAGTAATTATTGCTACCATGGTATAATACTTATTTCCCTGGTTGAGGTTAAAGGTTTATCCAAGTGTAACAATAACAGAATACAAGAGTGATTAAATCCAAAGGATGGATTATGTAGTGTTTCACCCTCGCCTCGAAGTTTTAACGTAGTCGGCTCTAATCGCCCATAACTGTTCTCCCACGGATTTCATCTCCGGACGGTCATTTCTAATGGGTGCTGCGCATTGAAATGCCAAGGCAAACATCTTCCTTAATATTTCTGCATCTACAACTTCTTCCATCTTTGGATCCACCAGCTCCACTACTTGTCCTTCATTATACTTCTGGAATGCCTGTATGGACACCAAAACTATGAATTCCGAGATGCAAACACCGAGTTATTGTTTCTGAAGACAGAATATTTTAGGCCTTGGGTGACTTAAACCCCAAGTACCCAACTTAAATACCTTGCACGGGAATCTTATTTCCTAAACATGAGAAAAACCAGTGAACCTGGGACTAGCTATACTCTAATATATGTGTCTACTCCATGCGCTTATTCCAAAACAATCACAAACAAGAGAACAAAGGGCAAGCTTGAAGCTTACCCATTTAGGCGTCACACGCTCTTCAACCGGTCTCCTTAGTTCCACGGGACGGCGGCCGGTCAGAATTTCCACAAGTAAAACCCCGAAAGAGTACACATCACTCTTGGTTGTGAGTTGATAGGTTCTCATGTACTCGGGATCAAGGTAACCAACTGTTCCCTTCACTTTGGTTGAAATATGAGTTCGATCCGAGTCCATCGGGCCAACTATTGCGAACCCAAAATCAGCCACTTTAGCTCTCATGCTTTCTGTCAGAAGAATGTTGGATGACTTCACATCCCGATGAATAATTTGCTTCTCTGGTTCATGATAAAACTCTATTATGAGAAGGCATAGTCTGAAATTAAAAGAGTATATACCAGTGAGTTTACCTGCATAGAGATGGAGGTACGTAAGGCCATGAGCAACATCAATGGCAATTTCAAGACGCTGATTGAAATTAAGGATTTTTCCAAGCTGACCTGCCAGGATTACCAGCAAAATAAATATATTTTAAGCCTTTGACGATATTGTCGACCGGAAACTTCGGTAGCTACATTGGGAAGGGAACTTACCATCCAAATGATCTTTTAGAGTACCATTTGGTGCATACTCCGTAATGATAAGCCGTTCGTTTCCTTTATCGATGTAACCAAGTAGCTTCACAAGGTTCCTATGATCGATCTTGGATAGAAGTTCTACTTCACTGCTGAACTTTGTTTCCAGATTCTCAAAATGTTCCTAGACGATAAAACAGGAAACGAGCTTCAAAATTATTCTTAACATTGGGGAAAAAGTTGCAGGAAAAATATCAACATGAGCAGATTTACTTACCTTTTTTGCTCGTTTAATCGCAACCACCTGGCCAGAATCTAGCTGGGCCTTGTAAACAGCTCCGAACCCTCCTTCACCTATCTTTAGTGCAGGTGAAAAATTATGAGTAGCTTTGGTCACCTGTGTCATACTGAGATGCACTGACCCAATTCTGTTGAGCTGAGGGGACTGAGACGTCGAGAATCTTGAAGGAGTAGGCGGTACCCAAAGTGGGCTGGCCGGAACCTTCTCGTGAAGGGAACGAGCACTCATTTCCGAAGGGCCAGCCAAATCAACTGCAAAAACGGAACCGTGGATTCATAACTCGAAACCAAAACAGGATGGGCACGTTATACAGCTAAGGTAATGTAACGCTCACTTGTATTTACATCCTTGGAAAGAACATTTTGGTCAGTTGCTTTCTTTTTCCTGTAAAGACAGGGGCAGATTAAAACACAGGTTAGAAGTACTCCAGAAGCTGCTGCCATCCCTACTTTGGTCGAGACCGGAAGTTTTCGATTATTGTTCCCTTCCGGGTTATCGTCGGGTATCTCGTCTTTCTTTGGCTCGTGCAATAACTTCCGTCCTCTTCCGGTCGAAAAATCAGCTGCCAAAAGCTAAGAAATTTACTCATTCTATGTGATTAACTTCATAACTAAATATTAGAAACTTCAAACGAAGCGTGTCACCTAAGGAAACGCCAAAACCAGAATCAGCGCCGGTATAGCCTTCCAACACAGAGTGATCTTCATAGTGCAACTGCAGGACCTTACAGAACAAAACCCTATCTACTGGAATGTCGTTCAAATAAAACACTTCATGGCTGTCCGAATTCGAATATGCTATGTGATCAGTCCCGCAAATCGTCGACTTCACTTCGATCCCGGAGGCAAAAAGTCTTGATAATTGCACAAACAGAAGTAGGCTAAACACTGAGGCAGCCATTCTCAATGTATTAACTCACTCAACTATCCTGCAAAATTCAATCAAAAGCTTTGAACTTTATCATCAAAGTCACTTCCAGTTGACAAAATGTATATATATATTTGAAGAAAACTACAAAAAAACATGGTAGGAACAGTACTAACAGAGAAATTCAAACCCTTCAAAACCACAGAAAACCATAATCAGTCAAAATAATTGCATCGACCCAATTCACCAAATCATAAAATGAAATAAACCCAGAGAGCAAAAACATCTAAAACCCTTAAAAAGGATCGGAAAGGAAAGAACTTCACAAGAAACAGCAAAGCTGAAAGTGACAGACAGAGGGCTGTCTATTGTTGAAGTAGTTGGAGTTAATAGTTGTTTAAAACGTTTTTTGATGTTGTTTTCACTTTTTTTTAAGAGTTGATTTTATACCGTCACAACTGATAATTTTTGTTTATTTTAGAATCTCACAGTAAGAATTTAATGCGTTTAGTATCTAAACTATCAATTTTGCCCCGTTTTAATACTTAAACTTTAAAAAAAATCAAAAATAAAATTTTGAACGGTACTAAAATAAAATAAAAACTAAATTTTAGGTATGATTTTAAAAAAATTAGATATTAAAACATATCAAAATTAATAGTTTAAGTACTAAAGTTGTAATTTACCCAAGTTGACTTTAATATTATTAAAAATGTTATTCTGGAGTTTGCAACTTGTGGGGGAGTAATCCGAGACTCGGCTGCTGCGTGGATAATAGGCTTCTCGCAATGAATTGGGTGTTGCTCGGTGACTGATTCGGAGCTGTGGGGCATCTATTCGGGTTTGTCCATTCCTTGGGAGAGAGGTTTTCGCCAGGTTATTATCGAGTAGGACTGCAAAGATGCTGTTGCGGTGGTCCAAGGTCAACCGAAGGTGAACGACATCTCAACGATGGTGCCGCATATTCAAGAGCTTATTCGACGGAATTGGATTATTCGGAGTCGACATGTCCCACGGGAAAGCAACCAGGTCGCGGACGGATTGGCACAGATGGCTTGGAACATGACTGATCACTTTCAAAGCTTTTCAGAACCTCCAGCTGAGATTGGAAGCTTGGTTTGCATGGAGGAAGCTGCATGTGAAAACTGTTTATGAGCTTTACTCTTCCCACTGTATTCCAAAAAAATGTTGTTATAGACAATAATATTTTTTAATATTAAAGTTATGATATTCAAGTTAAAATTTATAAAATTATTTTTATCACATTATCTAAATTTTAATATAATTAGTCTATTAAATAATTTTTAAATAAATAAACATCTTATCTTTACTTTTATCATAATATATAGTTCTTAGAAAAGCAAACTATTTGCCATAAAATAACTATTACCCTTTGTCTCAATAGTAATATGTATTTAAAAAGACCCCGATATATAGTATTATTCTTTAAAAGTCTCGAATTCGAGAATTTGTTTTCAGAATATATTCTTTTTTTTTATTAAACTAAAGTGATTATAAAGTAATATTATATGTTTAAATACTTTCCACCATTTGATAATATTGTAGGTAGTACAGCCTAAACCTATGATCTGTAGAAACAATAACGATTCTTTTAACCACTGAGATATGTTTGTTGCCTTTATAAATAACATACACAAACATTTCGTAATAGTTCAATAGTAGAGGATTGCACTGTAAGCATGAAATGGGGGAAAAACTGCAAGTATCCGTAGTCCATACGGTTCTTTCTAATTGTACAAATACAAGTGCAACATGTCCAATACGGTAACCTACCGTACATACTCAGTTTAATAAACATCTACATCTAAAATTCCATTTTAACAAGCGCATTGGAAACTTCAGAATCTCCATATTGTAACCACTCCTTGGCACAGACCAGTGCTTCCACTGTCTCCGGTCGCAAGGAGCTTCGGTACTCATCTAGCCGCTTCTCTGTGGTATTGAAGATCGAATCAGGAGCAACAGAGGAGACTGGAATCGACAAAATGTCACGAGCCATCTTGGAAAGAGTTGGATACTTCATCTTGTTCACCTTCCACCAACCCAAGACGTCGAACTCTTGGACGCGGGGTAACAATGACTCTTCCAAGTACTGATCTAACTCGGACTTCATCTGATGGCTACTAGTCTCCATAATGTAGGCATCGAAATCTGTAAGCCCGTGGTCTGAAAGAAGATTTCCCTGATGAGATTCATCGGTCTTTCCGTTGTCTCCGGCATTCCCTTCATCTGCATATGTTGGCGTCAAAGGCAGTGGAAGTGCTATGTACTCAAGAAAGAGCTCGTGAATTCCGTCATCGACAGTTTTAACGTGTGTGGGAGCTTCCTCACCGTATGTTTTCGTGAAACTGAACTCGACAAGTTTCATTTTGAAACGGGGATCCATGACAACGGCAATTGCCAAAACCAGGCTACAGTCCTTCCAGTATTTATCAATCTTTTCATGCATTGATTTCGCAAGGTTGCTGATAAAGGGATCCTCACTCGTGATAGAACGACCCAAGTCCGCGTGTATCCTCCACACTTCGTGAAAGAATGTGATTGCAGTAGGTTGAGTTTTAGCTGTAAGGATGCTGGTTGCATCGAAGAGAGGTTTCATGAAACTGCATAAAGTCTCAGCCAGCTTCCAGTCTTCCACTGATGGGGCTAGCTTATAATCTGGATCATAAGTATCCAAGCAATCAAACACTTCCTTCAATTCAGAAGCAGCTGCAAGCATTTGGTATGTTGTGTTCCACCGAGTTTGATCATCAAGAAACAGGTTCTTTTCACTGAGCACTTGAAGCTGGTTTTTTACTTGAATGAACTTTTCCTCGTGGGATTCTGACATCTTCACGTACTTTACGCTATCACGGATTTTCTTGATGATCCCTTGCCCGGCTCCAAGAACATCCTTTGCCATGCTGCTTATAATATGAGCTATACAATTTCCAATTAACAGCTGACCATTAAGAATAAGGGGATTCTTAACGCACAGTAAAGGTCTAAGATTTTCCAGCCCGGCTTCACTTAGTGGATGATCGAAGGTGAGGGAAAATAACTTGCCTTCCAAACTCCAGTCAGAAAGGCAAGCAGCAACGGCATGACTTAGAGCAGAATGGGAATCCGGATACGGTTCCATTATGACATTGAAAACCCGTCTGTGCAACTTCCACTCCATATCAACAAAGTGTCCGGTAATAAACACATAACCGAGCGTTTGATTTGAACTCCACATGTCCAGTGTAAGACAAAATCGTCCAGGAACACCCTCAATAAACTTCATGAGGCTTTGCTTTTCCCTCAGGTAAGTTGCCACACAATCCCCTTGAACTGTGTTGAAACTCATTTTATCGAACCGAGGCCGAAGATTTTGAACAAAAGCTATGAAACCGGGATGCTCAACCATGTGAAGGGGGTACTCATGCAAGATGATCATTCTGGCAATTTCATGCCTGCATCGATCCTGATCAAATGGGATAAAAGGTGTACTAGGAGATCTGTAGCGTCGCTTCGGAGGTTCACTTCCGCCCATCATTGTGTTATACGAGTTGAATTGATTGTTATCTTGGCCTCGTAACACCGGACAGGTTCCTTTGGCAATGTGGCGTTTCAGATGGCTGGTACCCGCTACCTTGGAACCAGTGCTATAAGCAAAACTTTGCTTGCAGCGCTTACAATATGCTCTTCTACATCCAGCACTCACATGTTCAATGGTGAAGTACTCCCATACCATGGACTTCTTTTTCCTGCGCCTGATCGGCTGCGTTTCAGGAGTGGTCAGCGCCAGCTGATTGTTCTCCCCGGAGACCATTTCCTCCGTCATTTCTGCCTACAAGTAAACCCTGCAGCTAAAAAGCAAAAGAAATTTTAGAAAAGGAACTCATATGACCACACGAATTTAGAAAAGGTTCAAGAAATGATGAGGTTAAGCCAAAGCACTCTTATCAGTTTTTACACAAACGTTAGAAATCCCTCAATAAATTATAAAATCATAAGATAATCTAATCATATCACTCTATCAGTGATGGTGGTGTGTGAGCCAACCGAGCGAACCTACCGGTTTTAATAGGTAAAATGGAAAGATTGCAGGTGTTGGGATTCAAGCTCGAAGCTTTCTCGATACCGATTCATCAAAATGATAGCATAAACCAACTGAACTAAGTTCTGCGTTCTAAATTACATAATATTTACCATTACACAAAACATGCTAGTAACACCACGTACATATACACAAGCTAGCAATGCAACAAGTTAGAATATAGTGCTCAATCAACTTAGAATGTTGACGGCAAACGATGCCATTGCCGAAGCAAACTCGATCACGATATAGCCCACAGGCAACCAGGTCATCATCACACGGTGGATCCATCGAGAAAACGAATCACATCATAACAAAATGACATCAAATAAACAGATAACACAAATAGGCCATCTTTGTGGTGCATGGGTAAAATAGGTATTTTACATATAAATGGGCTTCACCGGTGAATGTATAACAACAAGGGTTTACCTTAGGAAGGCAAGGAAACTAGATCTGGGGCTTGAAAAATATATTTAAAAAGAAAATAGAAGAAGAAGCCCAGAACAAGTAAAAATGAAATCCAGTTCAAATTTGAAGATCAAACACAACTGCAAGATCAAAAGACGAAAAGGATTAACAAACAAAGCAAAGACCCATTAAATATGACTCCAGCGATCTACCGCCCAGATCTTAAAATCTCAAAAAGGGCAGGCAAATCCATCAAAAGCCCGAAACAACAAACGATATATATATATATATATATATATATAACAAAAGTGCATAAACGAGGAAGTACGAAAAGAGCTCATCGATTCATTAAACTATTCCGCATAAGAAATAGCAACGATTTTCTCATGTGAATTTAATCAAACGTAAACATCGTAATTCTCATGAAATTCAAAAGTGGAGCCTAAAAAAGTAAACCCGGAGCTCGATTAAACAACGAATCAGAAATAAACATTAAAAACACAGGAATTTAGATTCAAAGGGGGCGAAAAAAGAAAAATTAGGCGAGGTGTTGTTGGTTTACCGGTGAAAAAAAGCCCAAACAGAAGCGATCTGATCTGGGGGCGGGTTTGAAGGCCGGAAAACGACGTCCAAGGCGGAGAGGTAAGGCTTTGCAGGAAGAGAGACAAGAGAGAGGAGGAGGAGGATTTGGGCTTAGAACAGACCCGAAAAGCTAATTGGACCTAAAAGAAAGAGGTGCAAAGGTTAAAAAATGGGATTTTGAGAGATTAACAAACAAAAAAACTTGTAGGGTTAGGGTCATGAGTTTTGGGTATTCAAAGCTTTTGGGAACTGGTAATGCCGAGCCAGCCCACCCCAAACTCGGCTTATTTTGCCATTTCCAATCTATTTAGGGTTTGATATGATTAGCACCCAGCGAAACGTTTTGAATTTTAGGGTGTTTGAATTTAGCAAAATTCTTCAGATTCGTTTCTTTATTAGGGTGAACTACGTATTCAGTACTTAAACTATCAGTTTTGATTTGTTTTAGTATTTTTTTCAAAACAATACCTAAAGTTTATTTTTTGTTTCATTTTAGTATCCGCAGTTAAAATTTTAATAGAAGTGACATTATATAGGTAAATTACATCATTCATTACTTAACTATCTTCTCACTCCTATTTTGGTCATTAAAGTTTAAAAATTTTCAATCTAACTACTCGACTTTCAAATTACTCACGTTTTAATCACTCTAATTTATTTTATTAATAATATTTTGTGACATGATATTGTTTTATTATTTTATTAGTATATAATTAAAATAAAAAAAAATTAAATTTCAAAGTTAGAGTGATTAAATTATGAGTAATTTGAAAGTTAAGTAATTGAATAAAAAAATTAAACTTTGATGACCAAAATAGGAGTGAGAATAATAGTTGAATGATGAATGATGTAATTTACCCATAAAAAGTGTCAAATTGTAACAGTTCCGCTAATTTAACATTAGGGGTACTAAAATGAAACAAAATTAAACATCGTGTATGATTTTGAAAAAATTGAAAGTTTAGTTACTAAAATGGATCAAAACTGATAGTTTAGGTGCAAAATGTGCAATTTACCTTTTTTATTAATCTGGGTTAGGTACAAGGTAGTATCTATTTAAAGATAACTCTCAACTATTTGACATTAAACGTTGATTTTCCTAATTTTTTGGTGTTCGAACATAAAACCTTAAGGAATAACGACAATTTCTTTATCACTGAAGTCATTTGGTTCGTGCTTCTTCTGATTCGTTTTTTGAAGTAATAAAGAAGTAACAAATTGATGAACCAAAGGAGTTTGATAAGATTAGCACCCAAACTATTTCCTTACTAGTTACTTGGTTTAGTGGCTCAATAAGTAATAAAGTCCTCAAAAACCAAAGGGAATGGTAAGGTAGTTGAGGTTTAAATTGGATGCCATTGCTATTGATTTTCCTTGAAGGTAATGTAGTGTAAACTTTGGAACAGCTCTTGTAGTAGATAAATTTGGTGTTTGATATCATGGTGTGTTTAAGTTGCTTTTGAATTGTTGCTTTAGTTGATACATGGTGTTTGTAATGAATTTTAAAATTGTTTATTATTTAATAACGTATAATTTTATACTGGGATAAATTTATAAAAATTCAGAGAGTAAAAATATTTTTTCAATAGAAAATATAAAAAATATATATAAATTATGCCGCTCCTACCAGCCCTTCGGTCCATCCTTACTTATACATGTTGAAATGATTATATAATATTCTTAAAGATGCATATAACCTATGGAGGGCAAAAAATGGTCTAAATAGTTGAGTGATTATGTTAAATTTTTTAACTTTAATTATTAAAATAGAAGTAAGAATAAAGTTAAATATTGAAATTTGGAATTTACCCATATTGCAATTACTGTCATTTTCGGGGGTTTAAGCTAAGATGATTATAAAGTAGTATTTGTTTTAAATACTCTCAATCATTTGTTAATGAATGCTTAATCACTATACTGCAGTCGTTGATGCTCAAATTTGTGACCTTTAGGAACAACAATGATCTGTTTAACCAACGAGATAAGTTAGTTCATGGATAGCTTTTCACGTCGCTCGAGTCTTAATTGTGGTTTGTCGGTATTATTTCAATAGCTTGATCATCTTTTGTGGTTCATTTGCCAATGCAATCAAATCTGTTTGTATTTATATTTATTCGAGTTTCTTGGTTAGATTTAATATTCTCTTGTATGGTACTTATGTGATTTTAAGTTCTAGTTTCGTTTTGAATGATTATAAGAAATTTTTCTAATTATATGTTTAATTACGATTGTGATTATAAATCTTTATTGTAATTTATGATATTTTTTATTTTGAATAAAATTAATTGCTTCTGTAAAAAAAAAGTTTACTAGAAAAATAAATTATAATTTCAATCCCTTAGAAAATGAAGTCTCTTTATCTTGTAACTATCTTTTCAGTTTTTCAGTAAGATACAAAAGTAATCATTAAATTATGCCTAAATAATTTCTTTAGTTATTAAAAATATTGAAAATTATAAAAAAAAAATATAAAATTCATTATATTATTATAAAATACTTATTATATTTTTATAAAATAATAATAAATTTATGGATCAATCTATAACCGTTTAATAAAATTCATGATTATTTTATAATAATTTAAAATTTAATTATTTTCCAATTCTTAAAACTTAATTTTAAAATTGTTTATTTTGGGTAAATCTAAACTATCAGTTTTGGTCTGTTTTAATACATATACTTTCAAAAAATCAAAAATCATACATATCATTTAGTTTTTGTTTTATTTTAGTATCCCACCATTAATAATTTAACACGTTTAATACCTAAACTATCAAATTTGTTTTGTTTTAGTACATAATCTTCTAATTTTTTTTAAAACAAATTAACATTAAATTTCCAACGTGTACTAAAATGAAACAAAAGTAAGCTTTTGGTATGGTTTTGAAAAAATTAAAAGTTTAGGTATTAAACACATTAAGTTTTTAATGGTGGGGTAAGAAAATGAAACAAAAACTAAACGATTAAAATGGACTAAAATTGATAGTTTAGATACTAAATTTGCAATTTAGCCTTTATTATTTTTTGGGTAAACTACACCAGATACCACTGAACTTTAGGTATTATATTGTTTATACTATTGAACTTTCAATTTTGCCAATTATATAAGTGAACCTTGATTTTCATTCTAATTATACAATTGGGTGTCGTTAAATCGTTAACAACTTGATCAAAACAACATCGTTTTGACGAGGTGTTTACATAAAAAACCATTAACCGCATCATCGTGCCATTAATGATTTAACAGTTAAGTGGTTTAACTGAGAAAAAATCAAAACCCAATGTTATAATTGCTAAAATTAAAAGTTCATTGATATAAATAATACAACACCTAAAGTTAGGTTACATATGATGTAGTTTACCCTTATCTTTTTTACTATTGGCCATCCACCGAAAGCTCGACGTACACACAAAGCACAAAAATTTCCACATACCGACACCCAATTTTGACAAGTCTCATAAAAGCGAAGTGATGGCATTTGGTCACGCATCAAATCAAATTAAAGTTAAAGCAATAATTAATTATGTGCTTAATCTCTAATTGCCAGCTAATTTAATCATGGATCCACCAACTCCACTATGTGGTAGGCTAATTGCATGTTATTGTAGATAAATATTTATTATTATTAAAAATATATAAATATTAAAGTTAAAATGTAAACACAATTATAATAATGATTCATGTTATAATCATCCAAAACAATATATAATTAGATATAACAGAATACATAAGTGATATCAACGGTTAAAAATATCTAAAAATATTAAGTTCAAACAGTTACGTGTGTATGTATAGGTGTATGTGTGTTATAAACGACTAAATTTTCTTAGAACAACTATTGTATTATAATCACTGACTATTTATACGTGGGTATAAATAACATTTATATGTGAGACCTCTAAATTCTGAAATCTTATAACGAATCATATTTTACATTTGTCATTGGACGTACCTAAGTGAAATAGCTCGAAATCCACTTACCGTCTTTCTTTTCCCCGATAATTCGTTTTTCCTCTTTTTCCGGCGTTGATTGATCAACGTTTATTTACTGATTGTGACTCTTTGCTCAAACTAAAAAGTAATAAATCATTGACGATCGAAAAAAATGATTTGTTCTCATTCATAAGAATAGATTTTGATTTGAATCATGACGATTACAAATAAAAAGTGTAAAGAAACAGCGCATTCCCACGAAGCAAGCTCCGTTCCGGGAAAAACATGATGTACTCTACTTGCCAATAGAGATGCACATAGCCGAATTTAAATATGATCCGGTTTTTTAACTAAACCAAAAAATTGGTTTGGAGGGCCGGATGATGTAACCGGTGTAACCGGTTTCGGTTTGGAAAAAAACATTTTTTTTAAATCGGTTTTAATCCGGTAAAAAATCCGGTCATCCAATTTTTTAAACCCCAGACCGGATTTTTTCCCGGATAAAAAACCCGTTTAAAATATTTGATCCGATTTAAAAAAACTAGTTTTTCCCAAATCTAATTTCGGATTTTTTTTTTTGACAAAATCGAATATTCATATTTTTTGTTTCTTTCGCACATGCCCACATGTGAACATCTATTATAATTATTTTATTTATTTATTTATTTTCGATTTTCATTTATGATTAATTTCAATTTAATATTGATTTATTTACCCTTAATCTTGATTCAATACCCTCCCTCCCCCACTTTCATGCTTCATTGAGTGCATCTCACGCTCCCCTATTTGGATGATTTTATTTTACCGGTTTTTTTACGAAGTTAAGGTAAGTATAAGGCAATATTTGTTCAAAAATAATTCATTTGATATTGAATGTTCACACCACCTAGCATTTCTGGTGCTCAAATCCGAGACCTATAATATTAATTTACGGTTATGGTGTCCGTTGTCGATACGGTTACGGTGTCACAATTGCGGATGTTATGTAACACGCAACGGGTGCTTCAAGTGTGATTTGTTTCTAAAAAATCACATTATTTCTAAAACATTATATTTATATATTTTATATTCATATTTTAATATTAGCTATTGTTTAATGGTATATTTTTATAGTCAATCTTCAATTATTATATAGAGATGCATCATAAGTTAAACTTTTGTTAATATTTAATATCATTTTTTGTTAAGTCAAATTATTCAAGTATTTTTTCTATGTAATTTTATATTTCG